TAGTTCACTCGAAAATATTAATTCAAATGTCATATCGAATGCGTATTATTCTGCTGAAATGCGGTCGGAATGTTTTGAATAGTTTTCAATGAGGAATTTTTGAATGAGGCAATTAGTGGAAAGGATGAAGTTGAACAAACCGATTGGGATCATCTTGTTCGAGAGCACCACTCTCAATGAATGAATCCATGTCCATTGCTGGTGCATCATCATCTTCTGCTGCGGCAGACGCACTCTCAGCGGCAGTCTACAAGTGGAAACGAATCCATACGGCGGAAAAATCATTGAAACGAATTTGAAGTGGTTTTGAAGCAAGTGAAATCGCGACTAGCAAACACCGACTGACTGAAGAAACGAACATCTTGTTTCGTTGAAATATTTTCCTCCATGTTCAACGGCTTCTGTACGCCACCTTCAGGTGCAAAATGATGTGTATCAACCCAACCGCTATCGTCGTCCAGTCCATCGAAACCCTCTTCGGCCTCACCAATTTCAGCACTCGTCAAGACCTGAAAGGGATTCTTTCGTGCAATCACCATCACGATTGATGTGTTCACAAGCGTCTAACTATCACAGCATTGTGGTAACAATACGGTGGGCCATTTCGCTGGTCAACATGTGAACTGCTTGTCGTTCACCGTGATTAAGCGAAAAACTAGACATCCATCAAGTGATTGAGTAAAACGACAGATTTATTGATGAATATACGAGACGAATGCGACAAGCCGAAAAGGAAGTGGAATGATAAATTAATAGCCTAAACGAAGTTAAAATTAAAAGCAGACTTTCTCCTGCGTCGGATCGTAGTCCATTTCAATGCAACGCCTATAGCACGGTACATTTCGTGTGATTAGGAATTGTTTATTGTCGGGCAGATAACTCTTCGTCCTGAAACAATCGAACGTCAGTTTACAATCAATCACACGTTATCAAATTACTTTTTGTGATGAACACTGACGTCAAACTGCAATAACACGATAAAATTTCAAAACACTATATCATGCTTGCACGATTGTGCAATGGTTAATGCATTTTCGAATGTTTCTTTCAAGAACATCATTTTGGTAAAACGTGAACATTGCTGCTTGATTGAGCGCTGAAATGGTACAAAATGATTCTTGTTGCTTTAAGTACTGTTCAAGAATTTTGCATTGTCGACAACTGGACAATCGTTTTCGGTTTTCGTGTGTGGGTACATTCAACGAGTTTCATTTCTTGTCCACACTCTGGCTCACAACTACCTTTAGTGATACGTTTATGCTGTGTATACGGTTCAATTTTTTAACTTTAGCATTCTACGAAAGCTGGACTTTGTGCAGGAATGATGAATGCTTCTCCACAGTAGCAATGTGTAGAGCAGGAGAAATGGAGTTTGACCTGGATGGATCGACCGATTTAGCCCATGACCACGTGGGGCAATGATGAACCAAATGATCACCGGCAATAACAAATTCATCCGGTGTCAATACGCCTGTTTCTTTGAATTTCGATTCCTTCAAAACTGGTGTTAACATTTCACCAATATTCAACGCCGCACTTTTCATTGTATTTACCAATGAATCCATTTTCCAGTTATTATAAAATCACCTTTGCCACAATCTGAAAATTGCTCAACAAATNAAATTATCGGGGACAAAACCAACAAATGCGTAAACTCAGCGGTTATTCACAAACAACACCACAATAGAAAAGCTAACTTCAACTAAAAAAACCAATTCATAAAATGTTTCCAATGGTCAATTTTGTTCAAGCTATGAATGAATGTTAATATACGTGATAACAAGTAATCTTGATGATTACAGGACCGATAAAATTTTGATGGAAAGTCCGACAAACGAAACAAAATTGGGTATAAGTTAATGAAAAAGGGGGTGTGATCTAACACACACAGAATACGCCTTACTTTAGCAATCGCACGCATGAAGACATTCTGCCACAGCTACCTTCGCATATGTACAACTAACTGTTTTCTGAAACAATGAGAAGTATTTCGACTGAAATCAATTCATATCGAGTAAATAAGCATGCTTGCAGCTAGTTGTGATGCATGCAACGAGAAATAAACCTACGATAAACATTAAACAATAACTGAGTAGAGTTTGGATTCATATTAAGAATATAATCAATTTAACTGACAATGAGGTGAAAAATAGAATACAATCAAGAATTATAAATTTGTATTCGAAGCTGGAGTATTGACCTAGTGTGCACTAGAAGTCACATGCACATCAAAAAGTAGTCATTTAACCCGCGGGAGTACTACTTCTGTTGGTTGCCTTAGCTGTGGGCGTGGCTAGTTAGCGTAGTCATTTAATCCTGGGGCTGCTACTCCGGTTGGCTGCCTTAACTGTGGGCGTGGCTAGTTACCGTAATCATTTAACCCCACAGCTACTGCACATAAATTTTATCCACCAGTTCTGCTTACATGAGGAGATACATAGCTATCTCAACTAGCGCAGTGGCACCATAGCACCGCAAGAGTTCATATATTCAAACTACCGGTATTCTCAGGTTTGCCCACTAACATATCAAATTCTCTACATCATTCGATTCCTCAGAGCCCCTCGATTCAGAATATCATATGTTTTGCCGAGCAGTTCTGCTTACATGAGGAGATGTAGCTATTTTTTAAGCTATCTCAAAAGCGTAGAGGCGCTCATTCAATGCATTGTGTCACTATAGATCAATGCATACATAAATATAGCGCAATAGGGATTACCATCTTCAAGGTAATCGTACTCCCAGCTTTGCCAGGTAACATATAAATTTTTTTTGCGCCATTCGATCCAGCTGAACCGCTACATTGAGAATATCGTAATTTTTACTGTGAAATTTGGCCTAATTGGGGAGATATAGCTATTTTCTCCACGCTATACAGTTTGCCATCTTCGAGCTAATCGTATTCTCAAGTTTGCCCAGAAACATGT